GTTTGCAGCATCCAGCTATACTGTCAGTTAAAAGTTGTTTGATTCTGTATTGGTTATTAGTCAATTCAACCAATTAATAGACTTAAATAAACATTGATTATAATAATACACATGTATTTGCATTTTATTTTAACTGAAAGCCACACTGCAATACAGAAAGCATTTGCTGATTATCAGCCAAGACATTTTTGATTATCAAATTAAGTAGCTGCTGAAAAAAATATAGCTTAATAATATGGTAATTTAAGTTTTGAACAAAGTGAAACCTTAGAACATTGCCAACGTATTTGCATCATTTTATTTAAACATTGTAAAGTTAGTGTTTTTTAGTGTGCCTTATTATGTTTATTGTTAATAAAATAATCCAGACAGAAATCAACAAAGTTTATTACCATGAAGATAAATAGGCACTCATTTTAAGAACAAAAATTATATAAATATCAAGAGCTTAGATGGACTCTGAAGTGCATAATAATTTATTACAAAATTATGAAAATATTTGTACATTTAATTGACACTAATAGAATGTAAACAGTATTAAACAGTATGTAATAGATATTTTTGACATAATGCATAATGCCCATCCAAGGCTTTAATTATAATGAGTGAACAGGTGAAAGTCAAATAAGTTTACATCTTGCCATAATTCCTTTCAATTTTATAATGTACTTTCCATTTATGAACGATAAATCAATGCCATTGGAAATTACCCAAAATGTTCAATTTATAAAAAGTTTGGGACAGTCTTTTTATATTTTAGGCATACTTATATTTTATCCTAAACATTTAAAAATATCAGTTGTAGGTCAATAACCTTTTTTCAGTCAATTATTTGAAACATAAAGTCAATTCAGCATAACTTGACCATGACAAAATAGGCACAATGTCATTTTAATATCATAACCATGTTATTTTGAAATTTAATAGGGTGTACTTTTTCAAAATAAAATATTGTTTCAACACCGAAATTAAAGTAAGACAATTTCAATTAACTTTTTAAATATCAAACCTCACATCCTCTATTAGTTTACATAAAAATTGGTCTTGCAATTTAACCAAAGTTGGGTATCATACTAAAGCCAAGAGAAAACTGTCTTGAATGATTTTCCTTTGAACAACATTCAACAAAGAAAAGTTAAACGTTGAATGCATGATTTTGTGTAAATATTATCAACAGTGTTTAACACTAAAATTTAAGAAGCGTGTTCACTTTTATCACTAGTTTAGGGGAATGAGTTCCTATCATATAGCATAAGATTATAAGAAATCCTAAAGAAATGGAAAACTTTTAACCTCTAAATTTAAAACTTCTAACCGCTAAATTAAAGTTTTAAGTTTAATTATGTGTAGATCTATGGTCAAATTATAAGAAAAAATAAAAAATAAATGATATACTTTCAAATTTAAAGTTTTATATTTGGATGGTGTTCACTATCATTTAATAAATTAGCTATCCATTTATTATATTAAAATGTTTATCTTTTTAGGTTGTGTAAAGTAAATAAAAGGTGCAATGGAAAATAAATTTTACAATGAAAAGTGAACTACAACTTGTCAACTTAAAATTGCAATAAATTATGAGACAAATATAAATTGTTATAAATCTGTACTGTAATGTAGCCTACACCATGAATTAAAAACAACATAGTCAGACAAAGACAAATATTTAAAATTATTATTATTATTAATTTATTATTATTAATAATTTATTATTATTTTTATTATAATTATGAATTCATGATTGTCTTATTATTATCATTAGATCACATCATCATTATTATTATTATTATTACAATTATCAATTCATCATCATCATTAATAATTTATTATTATTATTATTATTAATAATTTATTATTATTATTATTATTAACAATTCATTATTATTATTATTATAATTACTATTTATTTATTGTTATTATTTTATTTTTATATAATGTTTATTAATTTACTATAATATTATTATTATCTAATATCTTAATCATGTGACTGATGTTGCATTGAAGTCTGCATCTTATAATTATATGTGCATTATTAATTGATCAATTTCTATTTAATGTGATTTTAACCCCTTCTTATCCAACATACATACTTAATTTTACCATAAAAACAATAGGCCCTAAAATAAGGCAATGTATTCACATCTATGATAACAAAAACTGAAATATAACTGAATAATTAATTTGTTCAACATGTAGATCTAAACCTAGGTTTCACATTGAAAAATAATGTATAAAAGGAAATACCTCACCTTATACTGTAAGGAACTAAACTACTAGCTCTACTAACATCAGTCACAAATTAATCTCATACAATAATAACAATTCATCAAATGTCAGGAGTCATCACAAGACGCTGCTGATCACCATCGCATTTATTTCCACATTTCCCATACAGACCAGTAGTGTATTGTCTTTAATCACATTCTTCCAATCTCGTCCAGCAAAAAGAAAATTATAGATCTATTTTGAAGATTTAAAAGCAAATCAAATATATTTTAAAACTGATTAATAATAACTGATTTATTATGAACCTGTTAGATTAATAGACACATTTTTTCCTAATTCAGGACAATTAGCACAAGTTAACAAAAATTTCTTGCTTCCACCATTCTTAACGCCATTGAAAATAGCAAAGTGCACCTACTGACCTAGCTAGATTATCGTATTATTTATAGATTCTATATCACTTTTTTTTTAAAGGTTTTCATTCATAACTAATAAACCGCGAATGATTTAACATTATAGCGAGATAAAGACATAGCTAAACGAATAGCCGTGGGCGAGAGTAAATCCATGGATCGTCATAGTTTAAAATTGTCAATTTACGGCAGCAGTCAGCATCAAGCTAGACAAAGTACAATCTTATGTTCATTTCACAAAACAATGAATATAAATAATTTAAATTTAAACTGTTCTCGACAACAATCTTTTGAAGATCTAAATCTGAATTGACTAAAAAAACTTCTCTGTCCTACTCCATATAATATCCTGCTTGATTCAGTGTTCCATGTTCCCACCAAAAACATCAAGAACAAATCCGCTTTAATCGTGGAAAATATAAACAAAATTGCTGCTTATAGGGCACACAGAAAATCACCGACGTCTTATCGATTCATATCTAGAAGATATTACTATCGATTGCTTTTTGATCAGCGATTTTTCCCTTTTTTTTTTAACATTTCATTTCTTCCATTGTTACAACATTCGACGCCAGCGTTAAAAGGATATGACGTAGATACAGTACACACGTCATAACCAGGGCAGAGTATAAGTTGTTCCCCAAATAACAGAGACTATTCTATAGAAATAGTCATCATTATTTTGATGCGTAGAATCTATACAGTCATGTCCGGTGATTCTACGCATCAAAACTCAAAGCCGGTGTTAAATAGCTGATTAGCACCGCTTAGACCGATATTATTTCTTAGATACATGTAACAGTCAGGGGATTGATGCAACAAACAATAACGTCAATGTACATATTAAATATATTGATTGCTAACAACAGGAAAGAACATGTCACATATTGTGACACTGCACGTATTGACAGTAACTATTTAGAAATCATATGTTACCAATTCATAGAATTTATAAGATTATCATAGAAATGTATGAGATATTCATTGTATAATCCATTTTTACAATACCGCACACATATATGTACTGCAGAATATTATTCACGTTCATTCACAAATTAGAAATGTCTATGGCATAGGTCGCCTGATTTTATGATAAGAAATTAGATGGAACTAAGGGTAAACAATGTATTTAAAAGATCAGTGTCAACGCTGTTTTGAAAAATACAAATTCCTCCATAAAAGTTTTAGAATTTTTTATTGAAATTCTAAAGGACAATTTGTTATTCAATGAAAAAGATAATAAAATCAAAATAAAGATATTTCCTCTTTGTTTGTAGGTTTTCTTGATAACGCACCACTGTGAAAACATGTCGTAGATTCAGATTTAATTGTGACTTTTTCTATTTTGATTGTTAACATTCAACCAAAAACTTCCATTTCTAGGTACATGTATAAAAAAGGTTTTAATAATGAAAAAATAAGATAAGATAAATAGATATTTGTTTATTTTATTGGGTTTTAAGTTATAATTTTAGGAAAGAATCTACTTCAATCAATCAATTAATCAATCAATAAGTCGAATAAACAAACAATCAATCAATCAACCAACCAATCAATCAATAAAATTGAAACAGAGAGTAATTGAATGAATAAATGAATTGTTTTTTTTTTTTTAATAAAGAAATCAATATAGTGTATAAAAATCCTAATAAAGGAATGAATGAAATATTAAGAGTATCTTTTGAGTGATAAAAATTTTATTAAATGTATTCCTTTTAAAAATGCTTCTGCCTTTGTTGTTGTAAAGCTATGTGCCTCCAGATAAGCCAAAATATTTCTATAAAATCAGACTTAAAAATTATTACTTAGACTTTAGGAATAAAACAATATGAATGATTCAAGTTATAATTGACATGTTGACTGATTTTTTCAATATAATGACTATATTCCTACTGGGTTACTAACACAGTGAGGGCTTTTTTGCACATTTTTACCTCATTTTAGTAATTTATGTGAGTTGTAAGTGCAATTAAAAAGGTGTAAACTGCTTCCTTTTGGTCATTACACATTATTACACGTTACACATATTTTAAGAGTTTTCATGAAAATAAGCATAAATCTGGAGGCATGCAGCATAAAGTCATATGTTAGGTAACTTATCTTGTGTTTTTGTTTGTTTGTTTTTATCGAAAACTCTAGATTGCAAAATATTAAAGGGAGATAACCCTAGTATTTCTACCTTTGATCTAAGTTACATGTCTTTTTTCCCTTTTTATAAAATCATATGGGTATATCAAACAATACATAAATACAACAATAAAACACAGGCAAAATAGAAAACATGGCTCATACAGGTTAATTATAAATTTGAAATAGTCTTATAACACATACAATACACTTGGATATTACACTTGGATACAGGCGAAATATATATAACACACGTTACACTACTCAGTATCAGATAGACGGTTACACAACTCAGTATCAGACAGATGATTACACAACTCGGTATCAGACAGATGATTACACAACTCGGTATCAGACAGATGGCTACACAAAACAGTATCAGACAGATGATTACACAACTCGGTATCAGACAGATGGTTACACAAAACAGTATCAGACAGACGGTTACACAACTCGGTATCAGACAGATGGTTACACAACTAAGTATCAGACAGATGGTTACACAACTCAATATCAGACAGATGGTTACACAACTCAATATCAGACAGATGGCTACACAACTCAATATCAGACAGATGGTTACACAACTCAATATCAGACAGATGGTTACACAACTCAGTATCAGACATATGGTTACACAACACAGTATCAGACAGATTGTTACACAACATAGTATCAGACAGATGGTTACATAACACAGTATCAGACAGATAATTACACAACTCAGTAACAGACAGATCGTTACACAACTTAATATCAGACAGATGGTTACACAACTCAGTAACAGACAGATGGTTACACAACACAGTATCAGACAGATGGTTACACAACTCAGTATCAGACAGGTGGAATTAAGTGGTTAATGAGGAGCAATTGTAGAATAATTAAACATTTTAAAATCGAATTTGTAAATGTCAACAATTTGTGTCAAAGTTTCATTTCTTATTTTCTTGTATGCGTCTACTAACGCTTTATAACGTTGTCGTTTCATTTCTGATGACGTCATTTTATTTCTTTTTATAGCAGCAAGTATAACTTCTGAGACATAAGATGTGTTGTCATACTGACCGCTACTATTAAACAGTTTTCTCGGAAACTTAATTGTAACTTTCAAGTACCCTTGTATTTTAAAAGCGGTCCATATTCTTTGTATTAATTTTTGGCCACACACACATGTTCCATTTTTCGTTATCTTATTTCTATTGAGGACTGTTTGGACGATTCCTGGTATAGTTGTTTCAATTTTGAGTTCATGTAACGCTGATAGAATCGTGTCAAGCTTTTCATCAGGTACACTGAAAGCTTTCAATGCCTGCTCTACGTCTTTTGAAAAGCTTTCTTGTTTCACAAGTATATAAGCGCTTACATCACACGGACGACATAGATTATAAATTGGTGCCCAGTGGCGATTTAATGTCTGTCCCATTTCCACTTTAAGAATGATAAAATCCAAGAACTCCTTAAATGTGATGTCATCAGGACACAATTTGTTTACCCATGTCGGCCTAAGCTGCAGAATATTTTTGTTGACATCGTCATCTAAAAACAAATATGATCTGTCTATGAACGCTGAAAACAGACGACTAAACGGGTCACGTGACACAATGACGGACAGAGATTTTTTTCTTACATGACTCTCTATCTTTACAGTAAATTTATTTGCCAAATAGTGAACAAGCGTTCTTCCTTCCGAAAAAAGTTCTTCTGTATTTTCCACTCCGTTCTCTAAAATGTTAAAGATTTGCATCCAAAATGTCGATCCTGACTTTGTCACCTTACAATATGTAAAGTTGTAAGTTGGTGAATAGTAGTAAAAAGTACTGTTTTTACCTTTGTATATAGGATTCCGAAATATGTCTTTTTCTTTGCAAACTTTGTTGATTCTATTTATTCTCCGACTTTGCTCTGATGGATATATTTGATTGAGATAAGTCATTTTTTCAGTTGTGCTAAAGCTTTGTGCTTGAAGTTTTTTGTTCAAACGTGTCGATGTTACTTTCTGAATGAGATCTATAGTTTATATAAGAAGCAATAGAAACAAGTTAAAAACAAGATAAAGTGTTATTGACATAACGGGACTGGAAATATTTTTTCAAAATCAATGTTCCATTTTATGCAGTTCAATAACTTGTGTGCAAATGTTCAGATCATTCGCTCATTATGTTTTTCCAGAACTCTTATTGTGAAATAAAAAGCGCTGAAACGCTTTTCACAGAATAGCATAATTAAGCATAATTAAGTGAAATTCTTTTTAAAAGAGAATTTTTTTAAAAAGCTTTACTAAAAACGGATTCCTAATTCCTAGGACTTTATAACCTATATCAGGCAAAAGACGCAAGAACAATCCTACTTAGGACTTAGGAGAAGAATTTCATAAGACATGTTGTCTTTCATTCTAATCCTGTTTTTTAAGAATATTTGAATTGCTCTCTGTATATTGTGAATTATAATATTGTATATATTCTGAGAAATAAAATATGTTTAAACTAAACTTACGAAAACAAAAAGAAAAAGATGAAAATCTGAGTATCAAAAAAGATAAAGAAAAAAACCCTTTCATGTCCAGCCCCAACCCTAACTTTAACCTCTCACCCTTGCAGTGGATTATGCAGTATTACAAAATCACACAAAATTATCACTACGCTTGTATGCATATCTTCAAGTCAACAAATCTTGAAACAATCACTTTGAACTCAAAATCATCTTTAACAAATAAACAACAGAATAATTGATAAAAAAAATCCTCATTCCACCATAGCGTCGTGATAATAAGTAAAACTTTCTATATAAAGCATTCACGTTTTTAGATAAATTAATATATAAATCGTTCGATAAAGGCTGATTATTATTGTGATAAAGTTTGAAATGAAAAAAGTAACCTTGAGTGAAATTCAACGTTCCGCTGTATTCCAACAAAAAACAAGCTAGGAACGTGACTAACACCGCGGCACCAACAACCACACGTGTCCTAATATCATACTGCAACAGGATAAAAATTATTCTTTCTTATAATTTTAAAACTATTAGTTAGTCATTTATTTTCATCCATCAAATATATATATATTGGTAATAAAGTTCTAAAGAACAAAATATTATTATCTATCATATAAATGTTTATGAATCACAAAGAACTTTAGCCGCATTTATTCTTAAAGCAGCATTGTTTTTTACATTTGCTGAAATACTTATGGAAAGTATGCCTATTATAGACCTATCCACTTTGAACATAGAAATTTTGATAATAATGTAATTTTTTTGCTATAAGAACTTTATTTGACAAAATAAACAATTGCAATAAACTTACTCACAAGTTAGGACACTGCTCTATCCATATTCAATATACTATCAGACATGTTTTTGTATTCTAAATATATTAAAAGTTTATACATGCACGTATTTTAAGACTCATAATGTATATACTACTTAATATATCTTTGTTATACACCAGATGCTCATTCGTCATATACATCTAACACTTTCACAGTTTTTCTAATCTATTTCTACAAGGTCATGCTAAAATTTATTGCATTGGCATGATGATGCTTTATGTGCAATTTTCAACACATGTTCCTTATCTACAATTTTATTCAATATTTACATACATTTTCTCAGTTTCAGTAGTAGAATGAATGTGTCGATATTGTAAGTTTTACTTTATGCAGACGATATTGTTATTATCACTGAAAATGAAACTGATTTACAGGATATATTAAACCACCTAAATGATTGGTGCCTCATAAACGGAAGTTTGTAAATGCCAGTTAAAGTAATGTTAAGCACTTTAGACCAAAGGCTGTGCCTAGATCTGAATATGTTTTTAAATGTGGTATATCAGTAATTGAGTATGCTTGTAAGTACATGTATCTTGGTAGTATGTTAAACCCCTATCACACGAGGGCAGCGTAAAGAAAACTTCAAAACGCCGAGGTGAGCGCAGTAAGATCGCAAACTTTGCCGAAGCATCGTAGTAGCATCGCATAGAAAGCCGACCGATGGCGCGCATTTTTAGCATGCTCAAAACAAACGCCGTCACTCGGCGTTCTGATAAGAGTGCTGTGGGATCGCAGTAAGGGCGTCATAGCAACTCAGTAGCATCTTTTACAACGTAACAGAAGCGCCGTAAAAGCGCAGGAGGATCGCCGAATAAACACCGTGTCTATCCACAGCGCTTGTACGGAGATTGTGCGGCGTCTCTGCTGCGCTTATACTGCGTGTGTATGGCGCTTTAACGGAGCTTTATATTTCTAAAACTCTCTTAATTCGACTTCACGGCACTGTCACGGCGACCATTGCGCTCTCATGGCGATTCTACTGCGTTTTTCTGAAATTGCAGACTACTGTCCAGTAGAATCCCAACTTAGGACCACCCGGAATTAAGACCACCCTTCTATTAAGACCACTTTTTAAAGAACGGAATTTTCTGTTCTTTATGTTAATGGTAACATGATCCACAATTAAGACCAACCCATTAATACGCTTTTAATACCACCAGTTTCAGTCCCAATTCCAGTAAATACCTATTAAGAGCACAGTTTGTTGTAATTCATCTGCTTGAATTCTCTAAAGCATGACATTATTCAGAGTGAGTAATCGCTGGTATATGGTATATGAATCATGCTTTCAGCGCAGTGTGAGCGCCGTGTGAGCAGCGTGAACGCGCAGTGGAAGCTCATAGAACGCACCAGAAGGGCAGTCCGAACGCAAACAATCGCCATTTAAAACGCCGTAAGAACGCACTACATGCCGTGGAAGCTCCGTAACAACGCCATGATCGCCGTAAGGACGTCGTGAAGACGCCGTGAAGTCTCCATGTCATCAAACATATTAGTTTTTCCTTGCGATCTCGCAGCGCTTTGTTAATATCTACGTCACATAACAAGCGGGGACCGGCCGATATAGAGGGACCGATTGGACACCGTTGATAATTTTAGATCGGAAAGAACATTTCAATCATGTCCGGAAAGAAATGGGTGGTCTTTCAACCTCTGTGGTCCGCTAGTTATTCGGACGGATTCCGAAGTGTATTCACCCGATCACCCGGAGAAAACACTTGGCATCTTCTTTCTGGACACCGATCGATATTCTTAAGTGAATCGGCAGAGTATCGTACGGTAATTGTCCGATTGCCTTCCGTTATCCGGTCGGTTTTAGAGCCATCGTACAGTGACTGTAAAGTATACGGGCAAAAGCCGTACGATATCCGGCAGGCTGTCGGACGGTATTCGTATGGTATGTTCTCCCTCTTTCCTGCTGTTCTTCATGTTCCAACTTTTGCTAGTTTTCTCCTTTGTGTTCTGGGTTAACTTGCTCTCTTCCCCAGACTTATGTCTCACCTTTCTTTACTGGCTGTTTTGCATATTACACCTTGAAATCAAAGTTTCCGATAAAAGATTGTAAATGGAACTTGTAAACGTTCCAAAAACACCTGACTGTGTGAAAACGCAGAACTTTAATGAGAGAGTATATGTGAGCAATTAATTTTTCTTATTCTCGACATCGGTTTCCCGTACAAGCGAGTCCTCCAGAAGAGTATTAGTCGTTTTAGATTTCTTAGGACAGCGCAAGATACAGATACAGCAAGAAGCCCAAATTTAGAAAAATATGTAAAACAAGCTTAACAAGAAAAGACGGAGTTCAATAATAAAGAAAACCCGACACAATCCAGCATCACGGGACCGCCGTTAAGGAGCCCAGCAAGATACCAAAGAAACCACGAGAGTGCACAAGGCAACGCCAAGAAGCTTCTTCTTCTTATGCAATCCAAGCACTTATATAAAGCACTAATACACGTTGGACCTCAATTTTAAGTCTCGACCAAAATAGTTTACAGAAATTTTAGTTGGCAAGCCCCGGAATCGAAACCACAATGTCGAGATTACAAGTCTAGCGATTTTGCCGAATGCACTTTGCAGACTGGATAACGAGAGAATAGTATTAGGTGATGGTATTTGTGATTTCCCCTCCGGATCACCTCAGTAAGCGCAGTTCAGCCACGGCGGCATCGTTCCTTTACAGTCTGTCAAGCACGTATACAGAAATAATCTTCTTCACTTTAATAAGGAATTGATAACTGCACGAAAGTGAACTGCACCGTCCGAGAATTTAACACGGGTCGCCTAGTTCACAGTTTAACGGTTAACCTGTCGTAAGATCTGTTTAATACTCCAAACGCTCCTTCGGGGCAACTTAAGACCCATACGTGCAGCATACTGCGTCTATCCGGATTCCAGCCGGTTACCTGCCGAGTCTCCTTCGATGACCGCTCGGATATCGCTCGAAAACTGGAGGATTATTTGGCGCTCAAGATGTGAAAATTTTCACCTACATGTAACCGATATCAAAAGGAGTCCGGCCGGGTATCAGAGGGTATTTCACCGTGTCTGCTGCGGTGAGCTGGCGAGGTACCGGATGCCGCAAGAAAATAACTCCGCGCTAAAATTCTCCGATTACTCGTACGGTGTCTCACCGGTGACTTGACACCGGAGGGTCACCGGGCGGAGACCTTAAAAATTTGATAATTTCAGCCCGTTCAGACATCGGTACCCCATCGTTAACCTAATCGGAGTGTAATGTGACGCAGGCTTAAATTTAACAACGCCGTACAAACGCAGTAAAAGCGCAGTCTAGTGCGACAGGGCCTTTTGATGAATTCTTAGATTATAATGGTTTAGCTAAATATGTTGCACAAAGTGCTGGTCGTGCCCTGGGACTCCTCACTACTAAATTTAAGAATTCCAGCGATTTTCCTTTCGAGGTATATACAAAACTTTATGATGCTTGTCATATGGTACATCTGTCTGGGGAACAAAGCAAGCTTCATGCATTAATTCGGTTCGTCATAGAGCAATGAAGTTTTTCCTCGGCACGGGCAAGAACACTCTAAATGTTGCTGTACCAGGTGAATGGGTTGGATTCATCATTAATTATCATTATTGATCAATGGAAAGCTTTTTGTAATCATGTTGTTTAAATTATGGTATGTATGGGGTAAATAAATGTATATTTGTATCGGCATTGGATAAAGGAAATACTATAACTAAATACTTAATACTAGAAGTCAAGTACAATATTCTTGTGAACGTTTATAAATCAAAGTATTTGCTGAATAATCATAGCAAAAACTTGTTTTTCAGAATACATTCCATGCTGCACTACATTGCTATATACATACTGTTCGGGATTTTTTTAGAATTATCCGTTACCATGATGATAATTGACAAAAAAATCTAAAATATATTATTTCAGGCCATTTGAAAATATGGGATAATTTAATATTTAAAAAACTTATTTGCTACAAAGGATAAACTTTTTCTATTCATTTTACTCGCACCATCGTTTATTTTAATAATTACAATAATTGTTTAACAAAACACTGCATATCCTTCTCCTATCGGTATATTTAATAATAATATGCTACTGTATAAAAAATTCTTTGTTGTTATTAATATATCATTAAATTTTGCCCGAACAAACAAGTTTTGAGGTTTTTCTTGTCTTACGTATTTGGGTGACAGTCGTAAATCAAGAGAATTTTTAAAACATCCATTTCATTGTTTTCCTTTGCCAATTATATGAAATTAACGGATTGAAGACAACTGTACGTATGTCAAGTGACATTCAAGCAGAAAATGATACAATGACTTTGTTAATCCAAAATTGATGGGAATTAACAGCCAGGCCTGCTCATCTGTGAAGTCTTGACAGGCTCTTTAATCTTCGCAGTTTTTATCTTGATATCCCCAAAACTGATATGAGCCGTGTCATGACAAAACCAACATAATGGGTTTGCGACCAGCATGGATCCAGACCAGCCTGCGCATCCGCGCAGTCTGATCAGGATCCATGCTGTTCGCTTACAAACCCTATTACAAGTTGAGAAACTGATAGCGAACAGCATGGATCCTGATCAGACTGCGCGGATGCGCAGGCTGGTCTGGATCCATGCTGGTCGCAAACCCATTATGTTGGTTTTGTCGTGACACGGCTCAATTATAAAGGACAGTTCAAAAAATTCAGTACAAGTAAAGTTAAGCTGTAGTTTGGTCTAAAGCTGAACAGTGACATTTAGATGAGTTTATCAAGTGATGGAATAAATGCATGTTTGTGACGGAAGTCGTGCTGCCTGGGAACTCTCAAATTAATACAGATGTTGATCAACACTTCTCAATGACGTGAGTCAATAATAGCGTTTACAGGAAATATTGAATAACAATTGTACGGTGTTGTCCCAGTGCAGTTGAAAAACAATCATTTTCTAAGGTATGCGCAACGGAAGTGACAAATGAAAAATGCTCAGCAAACAGAGTGACATATCGCATTCTATTCTGCGAGAGTTGATGATATTTAGATTGATGAAAGTAATTGTAGAGTATAATTGATTAGATATGATTATTAAGCTGGACAGTGATATAAAAGAAAGCCACACTTAAGTGGCCGGACAGAATACAACAAACTCTGGTACAGTAAATTGTGATTCAAAATAAAACTTGTTTTCAAAACTGAATGGAATTCACATGCATGTATTGTGGAAAAACATGTCAAACTCTACAAATGGATCACGACGAAGTGACCTTGGATTTATTGCTGACCAGCTTGACCTTTATGCACCGCCAATTTTAATTTTGATTGGAGTAACATGTAACAGTCTGGTTATAGTAATCATGAGAACCCGTTATTTTAGTAATGTGTCAACATCACTTTACATGTGTTTTAATGCAATCGTTGATAATATTACACTTCTCGTAGCATTCCCCTTGCACTGGCTTCACGTGAGTTTTCCTGAGCTGATTTATAGAGGAGATTATGAAGATTACATATGCAAAGTAACATATTTCATAGGAGTGAGTACGAGTAATATGGGTATTGTTCTCACAGCGGCAATGACATTGGAGCGAGCTGTAGCTATAAAGTTTCCTCTTAAAGCTCCAAGTCTCTGTACGAAACGGAAGGCTAAATACGTCATGCTGGGACTTGTGATGTTTGTAGCATTAAAGGATATTCATTACCTTCTAAAGTCAAAAATGGTTCCTAAAGATTTTTTAGCATATCTTTGTGAAATTGACATAACTAATAACATACTGCGGGTGTATGTGAACAGAGTTTGGCCCATTTCTCAGAACATATTTTTATTTCTATCCTTCTTCGTAATAATCTTTAGTAATTTGATAATAACGAAAAGTGTTCGCGATGCTGACAAGGCCGCTTTCACTCTTCAATCTGAAGATATGAACGGCAGAAATATCAGAGCAACAAGTAATGGTCTTCATAGAAAGTCGTCCAAGTCACGACAGCTTACTGTAATGTTGATACTGGACTCTGTCACGATCATGGTATGTACGCTACCGCTTGCATTATACGACATTATTCGGCCAGATTTCGTCGATGCTGATGTCGGACATATTGTATTTTGTGTGATATTCTACCTTGTGTATGTAAACAGATGCGCTAACTTTTTCCTGTATTGCATTACGGGATCAAGGTTTCGTCAAGCGCTAAGGAGCATTTGCTGCGGTCGCCGTTTTGGAAGAAAAGACTCGATTTATTACATTCACCAGACAAGGGAGTCAATGTATCATTGAAAATGAATTATGAATCAAACTTCTATCATCTTTAAAGGTGGCTTATGTAGATTTTTTTTAAATATAAGTGTATAAATATGTAATTGTATGATTAAGATATACTTTTTATATTTTTTTTCCAAAAGGAATACAATAAAATAAAAGTTCGCGTCATTTATGTGTTCGTATACAAATAAATATCGACCATTTTGGTTGTATTGTATTAGTCACATTACTTCATTTTATTGTAGCTTCATTTTGTCATTCATTAACTTTTGAAAATCGTAAGAATATTGTCTGTTGAATAATACGCAGGGGGTTTAATGAAATATCCATGTATATAATGTTTAAGATCATACTGTGGCATATAATGTTCCAATTTTAGTGCATAAAATTAAAGCATTTGCTTTGGTATCATATGCCGTTTTATTATAATATTAGAAATTATTGTATTCAGTCCATGCTATCAACAAGCTGACAGATGTAGTTAGAAGCAGACAAGTGTAACTTAAGCGGTTTGTTAAGAAAGTGTACTTTGACGACCTTATTTAGTAATGAGTAGTTGAGTAAGCTCCCTTTAATTACAATTAATTTCCTCTAGACATTTCCAAGAAGTTTTGTTATTACAAACTAATTCACAGTATCTTCTTATTTGTTCTCACAGAAAGAACATGAGATTTTTAATAAATAATTTTGATGTCTGCTTTTTTTCTTCATATAGCTTAAAATTTTCAACATTGTAATTTAACCTTTTTGTGTTTCACTGAAATGCCATTAGGGGTCGTAATTCTTGAATGAGGTTTGATATATTTTATATATTGTTAGCTCGGAACAATTAGAATTTTATAAAACTCGTACTTGCTGTCTATCATGTTATTTACCTTTATCCATAACTTCGACAGATCATTCTATTACATGTATATACATCAATGAGAAATGTATCACAGTACTAGTGCCACCGATTTTGTAAATACAATAAACATGTGTTCTGTGACATCAAAAGTGAACTCAGTTTTCTAACCCGGCGAATAAATAAGAGTTTGTAATATGTTAAGTTACCAGATCAATACATTGAAGAGCTATAAATATTCATCAGCAATTATGATATGATGTGATATGATATCTAATAAAAGTGCCATAATAAAATTGATGTTTGAGATATTTTTTAATTATACATTTTATCATTTGATCATTGATAAAACTGATATGTTCATTAATTCATAATTCGTTTATGTACTCTTTCAGTGTAACTGTGTAATTGTAAACATACGATGCAAATTTCCCATATGGTTTGAACATGAAAATAATTCTCGATATTGCCCGAGAGATGATTTTGTGAAAGATTTATCTTTTTTATTGATTTCGTTCACTGAGTTATTGCACGAAACTAGGTACAGGCGTCTTATTCGGGAACTCAAAATGGAAACTTGAATAATTTAGTTTTTCCTGTAAATAAGAAAGTATGACTATTTCAATAATATTTGTATATATTTATCACCCTCTACTTACGTGTAAGTGATACCGTAGTAAGAAAAGAAAGATAAACTTTTCGCTAATAGAGTTAAAATATTCAAAATGGCAATTAAATGCTGATGCCAATATATTGCTTAAATGATATGTGTTATTTAAAACATAGCATCTAAAATAAAATGAATTTTTTCAAACATTTTCATACAATATAAGAAGTCTTTCACTGGATTAAATATGATAAATAACATTTGTTAATGATACCGTAATACTATGGTCTTAGATAAGGCCGACATTGTGTCAATAATTGAGTAAATTTTATACATTAACTATACACTAAAATACTCCTGAACGAACTGATTCAAACAACAATTCATAAAATTTTAAGCCTGTAAATATGCATGTAGAAAAGTCCATATACTTTTGTTAAGGTACAAAAAGCAGTTTTCGCTGTCGAGTTTGCACCGCAAAAATGTCACCACTCTATTCCTTAAAAGTTAATTTTGAAGCACAAAGTGGTGATAATTTACCTCCTTGTAATTTCCACGGAGTATTAGCCAAATATATGATTTTTGAGCCGCAAGTAGGACACCGTACACCTAAACGTACAGTAACCAGTGGCAGTACTAAAGGAGGTTAGCCTAGTGTGAGTGATTTTTTAGAAAAAAAAATCTTGTTCTTTCCAAATTGTTCTGCAAAAGTGCAAAATGATCTATTTCTAAAGACAATCTCTAGGTTTAGATAAAAATAAAAAAATAGCCCCGAACACTCCCAGAACAACTGCATTAGCAAATGTAAGTTGGACAAGTAATATGTAATTCTTGTGTTAAAGACATAAAAGGATCAATCTGATATTTCTGAGCAACGATTAAACAAGGTTAACCACTTACTAAGACATATACAGTGAAGATTCACGATAAATTAAGTTACTTGAATCTTGTTCATAACACGTATATACAATAACTAAACTATAATTAAATTGCTCTATCATTAACTAGGCCAATCTAAATATGAAACAAAATGTTTTAATAAGTGAATTTCCATTATTAAAATACTCTCTCAAGTCATAAAATGCAATTTGAGCCGCGTCATGACAAAACCAACATAATGGGTTTGCGACCAGCATGGATCCAGACCAGCCTGCGCATCCGCGCAGTCTGATCAGGATCCATGCTGTTTGCTTACAAACCCTAACAAGTAGAGAAACTGATAGCGAACAGCATGGATCCTGATCAGACTGCGCCGATGCGCAGTCTGGTCTGGATCCATGCTGGTCGCAAACCCATTATGTTGGTTTTGTCGTGACACGGCTCATTTCTCAATTGAAACATGTTAAATTACGTGTTTCGTGTTTGAGGGAGAATTAGAATTAGATTATCGAAGAATGGCAACGATGTGAATGCACAAAAAAGCATACAAGAAATTTTAAAATGAACTTCATCAAATAATGCTGACAATGCAATTGTGTAGGAAATGAGGTTTGCAGTATTCAAGAGCATGTGTTAAAAATAATGCAAATTATACATTATCTTTACTAGTAGTTGTTTTATCATTACAAACTTATGTCTTACACATTCACTCGTGCCAGTGGTTTTGAATACATTAACTGTTAGTATAAGTACTCATAATGGCATGATCAAATCACTTTTAAATTGTCACGTCGTTGTATAAAGAGTGAATTTGGTATGTAATAAGACATTTTCGACAATCTAAATATAGTGCAGACGACAAAATTTGTCAAGCAATGGATCAAGGTATTGTGATGATAGATGTTCAAGATTTAAAAATTCTGTGCGGCTTAAATTATTTCAATATTTAGTTTGAAGCATATCAAAAAATGATATCAATTTCAGGTTTGTACTGTTTATCATTTAGTGTACATTGTCAAGCAAGACAACTTCATTTATCAATTTTCGTCTTTCGTGTAGTCTTATTAAAGCAATATTTTGTTGTATTTTAAGAATCATATTTGTAGCAATTGTTCACATGCGCACGAAAGACAACGCTACACTATTTTGACATATTTTTGTTATAAATAATAACCTTATATATGACAAAGATGAATAATGTTAAATATTGCAGTAAAAACGTTCTGAATAGTAATTTGAAAATTGTAAGAAATTTGTTTTTCTTGCATAACCATTCTGCGACTTTTACAATAAAAATATAGGACGTAATTCAGGAACTGATCCATAAATCCACACATTTTGTATAGAAAGGTTACTTTAGCTACTTATAAATTTACTGAAAAATAAAAACATTACTAAAAATTCATCGTCATGTTCATCGTCAATTTATTTGACAAATGATTTTGTGTTAAATACCACAAGAAAGTGTGTTTACCTTTTACTTATAAGGCCGGTTTAAGTTTAATGAATCACTTTAGTTTTAAAAAATAAATACTGTGGTATGAAGATCATCTGGCTCACATTTTACTTCGTTAAAGAATGAACACATTAGAAAATTATAATAAAATTATTTAAAAGACATCTTATTTTTGAAATTTTATGTTTTAAATAACAGTAGATAAAATGCTTGTCGGGATTGGCGTATTTCATTTGTTTTAATTTTATTTATCGAGCGTTTATGCATTTAAAATTTATCAGTTCATGGTCCACGTCCCCCCAGCACCGGCTTATGAAGAATGCTACAATTTTACATGAATATGATAAAATTCTGAATTTACAAAACATCCGTAGATGTGTTCCATATTATCTGGGATGTACTATATGTATCGTATGTTCCAGATATTATCGAGCCTTCAATGTCATACGTTAATGCCATTCCATGAAAAAGAGACTTTTAGTCAAAAGGTAAAAGAGCAGAACAAATTGAAAAGGAATTAGAGGTTATTAAGTCTGCATATTACCGACAAGATATTAAAATACTTATTTAAAAAGCGGGCAAAAAGGGTTATCTGACAGAAAAAAAATGTTGTACGATCTTTAAGAATAAAAAATGTAAGATATGTGTTTGTATGAACGGGTCAATGTTCTTACAGCCTCCCCGTGCAACGCTGATTCAGCAATAAGATAAGAAAATGGACACCTTAAGAACGCCAAAAAACAGCAAAATTAAGAATGCCGCAGACTAGGACTTATTGAGCATGTTCATACACGTTAGTAGTGGTTACAGGCCACTGTCCATGCCTCGAGCACCAATTCAACTTTCTATAAGTATTTTTTTTTAAATTATATTATGACAATATAATCGAGTTTCTGTATGCATTCTTTAGTACATTGCCAAACTAGGTGCCTGTTGTTTTATATTTGATTTAGACAAGATAGATATAGATGGGTTGGTGAAAGCAAGTCACGAAGCCAGAAGAATGGCTTATTCCCCATACACCAAGTTCCATGTTGGAGCGGCGCTTCTGTGCGAAGATGGTACTGTTATAAAAGGTAAAATATTTTTGAAAAATAAATGTATGATACATAATATGAAATGAAATATTCATGCTATATATATTTCTATTTACTGAAATTACTTGGATTATATGAATGTACAAGAATATAAAATATAAACTGCTTTTATCAAATATGGTAAATTTATTTTCTTCTTTTTATTTTCATCTTAAATTTGTTCTTAAAAACAATTGAAGTTTTAGTATGATTTTTATTGTGGAATGGAAGAAATTGGATAGCATAGCGAATTAAAATGATTATAATTAAAACATCAGCATGGTAAACTCTCCATATATTTTGCACAAAAGTTAAGAATAGTTTGTAAATAATTAGTATTAAAACATTTGATGCCCCTATCTCATTTTACAAAATCTGACAGTTTTTCTTGCCCCACCTTCTTCTTATATGAAGTTATCAAATAAGGAGACTATTAGATAAGTGATACTTTTCTACAGATAATGAAAACGTAATAAATATTAATGTTGTTGTTTAAAACTAATGTTTAAAACCAATACAAATGTTAAACTTTAATTGTCAATATCTTTTCCAAACAAGATGGTAAACTTTTGTATGTTTTGTATTTATGTCAGTTTAATAATATAAAGTTTTAAAGGCCTTTTGAAAAAGTGTCAATTATACATTTAATACTTTAAGTATAGTATAAAACTTATGACAAAAACTATATATAACACTACACTTATCTGTAAATATTTTGATTTAGGTTGTAATGTAGAAAACGTATCTCATGGTTTAACTATTTGTGCGGAGAGAACAGCTATTGTCAAAGCTGTGTCACAGGGACACAGAAAGTTTCTAGCCATTGCCGTTGCAAGGTATAAAGGATATGTTTCTAATAAGTTTATTACATGCCGCCCGGCTAGCTCACTAGGTGGAGCGCTGGACTATGAATCGGGCGACCCAGGTCGATTCCCGAACGGTGCAGGTCACCACTTTCGTTGAGATTGATTTACGGTCAACCGCACTGTACTTGTGCTCTGGCATGTATGAGTTCCTTGCGAAATGAAGGCAAATAGTAATGGTAACGGCTTGACAGCTAATCAGGAATGATGTGGTAGCTGAACTGTGCTCTAGTAAAATGTGGCTTCCTCTCACGAGGAGGGTAAACTACTACTACCATCACCACCACCATGGCTTTTATTTTTCAGCCAAACTTTGAATGAAAGTTTACGTTGATAATTTGTTAAAGCTCTTATGGAAAAAAGAAGACACAGTGTCACTGCCAAATGCCGTAATTAGAATAATATAATTTTGTATCTCTCTGTAAATTTTACAAATGTAAAAACTATCCGTTGGCTAGCTGAAGCAATTTGTACGCAAGTAAAACTATATGTTGGCTAGGTGGATAAGAATGGCTTTCTCGAACGAGGACAGCTTATAAATGTCCAAATACCGGGATCCTAATCCACGGAGATATGAGAATATTCAAAATCAGTGTAAATACTATTGGTATCCTACTTATTGCAGTGCTGGCATGAGTAATCTGTAAAACAAATATTTTTATAAATTCCATATATTCTGTTATGAGAAATATTATTATAATCAATTTCAGTGATATGTTGAACTCATTTATCACGCCATGTGGTGCTTGCCGACAGTTTATGATAGAGGTATAGTATATTTCCAGAATATTATCTTATTTGCTTTAAAGTTCATTATGTGCTCAAATAGATCATTCGTAGACATGTATTAAAATTTTTGCTTGAATTACATCTGTACTTAATCTTTATAGAACTACTTTAATTGTCTTTACGATTAACACTTTACATGTTTTAGTAAGAAAATGGTATTTTGGTTTTGCTTATAGAATAAAAGCAATTTATTTTACAGTTTGGTTCAAATTGGGACGTTTTTATGACAAAGCCAGATTTCACATACACGAGATTGAAAGCAGGGGAGCTTTTACAATTTAGCAAGTGTACTTATACTGTACAAGCAGACTGAAAACAGATCACAAATTATTTGTATTGTTTCTAGTGCATTTATCTCAATTAACTGAGGCTTATAATCTAAAAATTACAAGTTCTTACCTCAGAAACTGTTTGAATATTCATTGTTTATGTATACTTTGTGGTTGTCATTTCAGAAAGTATTTATCTGAACGTTTTAATATGTACATTTTAATACTTTATGACTGTGTGAAATAAACCAATACAAATGAAATAAACCGTTTCAAGTTCTTCACAATTTAGAAAAAAAACCTTATGTGTTTGCAAAAAAAAAACACAACACTAAGGCAAACAATGAAGAACAAATTATGTAAGCGGTGCAACTCCAATTCCATATAGATTGCGTGATAGATCTTAATGACTGGCTGATTTTCCTGGCTGAATTACGTTAGTTACTGCATTCAATAATGAAAATGAAGTAGTCCTTTTATTGTTTCTCATTTATTATTTGCCTTTTTATTAAATGGGATCCTAAACTTACAAGACGATACTTTGGGAAAACTTAAGATGTCTAATTCGCCTATTTCAAAATTATACATGTGGTGTGATAATGTGTTATATTAAATCTATTCCTCATCAGCAAATAAATACAGTACATATTTCAAGCAATCTGTTTCTTTTTTCTACAAGTTTGTATTATGATGTGCGCATTATTTTTGTATATCCAGGAGGCTTAAAAATCAGGAAACAGTATGAAATAAAGAAAAAACATTTTGAATTAATATATGATAGATGTTATAATCTGTTTCAAAGATTGAAAATTTTATCATTCAGTTTTTTTAATGCTAATTAATTCTCATTTATGTATTTATTCAGATAGTGTTATGTGTGCAAGAATATTTTGGAAACCAGGCAACATGCCTGGCGAGAAAACAAATTAATTTCAAGATCATAACATGTATGCTGTAAAATATTTTTGAAAACGAAGCAAAATATCAAGAAAAATATTATCTTTCATTTAATATACCTGCGGTATAATATTTATAAGTGATTTTTTAGTAGTTTCGGCAGCAATAGAACTAGAAAATTCATGTTGAGCGTCGCCATGTTTTAGAATTGTAGTTTTTCCGTCACGTGATAGAGTAAGAACATATTCTGTTTATACACCACGAATCAATCGGAGGGAAAAGTGCCCGGTAATTCAACATTGAATTTCAATAAATGTTTCGAACCATCGTGTATCACTGACCGGTCAATGTCTCGGGCTTTTAGGTTCATTTCCTTCGTACACTCGGCCACCCATTGCCTACTAATTTACTCTAATAGAATTATTGTAAAAAAATAAAAGGATGAAAATAAGTTTGACGTGAAAAAAACTTTATAGACACAACTATTTCGGATACTTCCTATTGATATGTGCCTTATTCTAAACATGAAATTCAATTTAATGTGGTCGTAGTAAAATTATCTTTTTTTTTCATGAGAAACTTTTCATAGTGGCTGTCAGGAATACACATTTTCCATATTTGACAAGGAAATACTGCTCGTGTAATAAAATAAATTAATATGAGCCGTGCCACGACAAAACCAACATAATGGGTTTGCGACCAGCATGGATCCAGACCAGCCTGCGCATCTGCGCAGTCTGATCAGGATCTATGCTGTTCGTTTACAAACCCTATAACAAGTAGAGAAACTGATAGCGAACAGCATGGATCCTGATCAGACAGTGCGGATGCGCAGGCTGGTCTGGATACATGCTGGTCGCAAACCCATTATGTTGGTTTTGTCATGGCGCGGCTCAATTATGTAATAAAATGAAAATGATAAATTGTTTGGCATATTTCTTCCTTCATTTACATTAATTTTATATTCATTTTACTCAGATATTTAGAATCAAAGTTTATTAACGATCATTAGATTGTTACGGCTGACTTGTATGAGGTAAGTGAAAGGCACGAAGATATAATTTAGGAAGAACCATCGGCCATCAAAGGCCAGCTAAATGCTTCTTTGATGACGCTGTTAATGTCGATGTTGACGATAGGGATGATGATTACGACGACAATGATGTTGATGACGATGTTGATGACACTGAGGATAATGTTTATGACGCCTATGATGATGATGTTGATGATAATGATGACACTGAGGATAATGTTTATGACGCCTATGATGATGATGTTGATGATAATGATGACACTGAGGAAAATGTTTATGACGCCAATGATGATGATGATGATGATGTTGATGACACTGAGGACAATGTTTATGACGCCTATGATAATGATGAGGAGGACACTGAGGGTAATGTTTATGACGCCTATGATGATGAAGATGATGATGATGTGATGATGATGACACTGAGGATAATGTTTATGACGCCTTGATGATGATGATGACACCGAGGATAATGTTTATGATGCCTCTGATGATGATGATGACGACACTGAATACAATGTTTATGACGCCTATGATGATGATGTTGATGATGATGACACTGAGGATAATGTTTATGACGCCTTTGATGATGATGATGACACCGAGGATAATGTTTATAACGCCTATGATGATTATGATGACACTGAGGGTAATGTTTATGACGCCTATGATGATGATGATGATGACTACGAGGATAATGTTTATGACGCCTTTGATGATGATGATGATGACACTGAGGATAATGTTTATGAACGCCTATGATGATGATGATGACACTGAGGATAATGTTTATGACGCCTATGATGATGATGATGACACCGAGGATAATGTTTATCACGCTATGATGATGATGATGACACCAAGTATAATGTTTATGACGCCTATGATGATGATGTTGATGATGATGACACTGAGGATAATGTTTATGACGCCTATGATGATGATGATGATGACACTGAGGATAATGTTTATGACGCCTATGATGATGATGATGACACTGAGGATAATGTTTATGACGCCTTTGATGATGATGATGACACCAAGGATAATGTTTATGACGCCTATGATGATTATGATGACACTGAGGGTAATGTTTATGACGCCTATGATGATGATGATGATGACTACGAGGATAATGTTTATGACGCCTATGATGATGATGATGACACTGAGGATAATGTTTATGACGCCTATGATGATGATGATGACACTGAGGATAATGTTTATGACGCCTATGATGATGATTATGACACTGAGGATAATGTTTATGACGCCTATGATGATGATGATGATGACACTGAGGGTAATGTTTATGACGCCTATGATGATGATGATGACACCAAGGATAATGTTTATGACGCCTTTGATGATGATTATGATGACACTGAGGGTAATGTTTATGACGCCTATGATGATGATGATGACACCAAGGATAATGTTTATGACGCCTATGATGATGATGATGATGATGATGATGATGATGAGGACACTGAGGGTAATGTTTATGACGCCTATGATGATGAAGATGATGATGATGTTGATGACACTGATGATAATGTTTATGACGACAATGATGATGATGATGACACTGATGATAATGTTTATGACGCCTATGATGATGATGATGATGACACTGAGGATAATGTTTATGACGCCTTTGATGATGATTATGATGACACTGAGGGTAATGTTTATGACGCCTATGATGATGATGATGACACCAAGGATAATGTTTATGACGCCTTTGATGATGATTATGATGACACTGAGGGTAATGTTTATGACGCCTATGATGATGATGATGACACCAAGGATAATGTTTATGACGCCTTTGATGATGATGATGATGACACTGAGGATAATGTTTATGATGCCTATGATGATGATGATGACTACGAGCATAATGTTTATGATGCCTATGATGATGATGATGATGATGATGACACTGAGGAAAATGTTTATGATGCCTATGATGATGATGATGGTGGTGGTGATGATGATGATGATGATGATAATGATGATGATGATAACGTGATGTTGATTTTTATGACAACGTTCAACGTTTATGAAAATAATGAAATATGCTTTAAACATTTCATCACAGAGTTTATTAGTTAAAGATCTTATCTATTGAAGAATACAGTCATTTTAAACATAAAATTCATTTTTTGAAGAAGAAAAAAGATTGTCAGCTTACATATTTCAATCACCTAATTTGTAATATTGTAGAAAATACATTTTGATGATTCATCATTTAATGTACCTATATTCAAGTACAATTATATACTTAAAATGCTTAGATAACAATTAACACAAAAATCATTATCTCCTGTTCACCGGCCAACAACCTAACATGGCTATTGTATAGTTTTGTTTAGTTAGGCCACCTGGACTATTGGATGGATGGCTATTAAAAGTATATTGATCAGATAATGGTTTCTAATGAAAGTGATAATATTTAATATTTTACAAATTATCACAAATAATAAACAGAATTCTAGTTAGTTAGGTACAGGGAAGGCACAAGTTTGATATGAACGCCTGAAATGGATAATTTGTAAGGTATAAACATGTTTCATATTTAGATATTATCTACATTAAATTTGAAAATACATGTATTTTGAGGCGACATTTTGTCTAGTCAACTATACGGTAAAAAATTAACGGATGATTTTCTATACTATTTAAACTACCTTTATGAAAATAGAATTAATTTTCGACAATATATTATACGCTATAAGTTGCTTATTCCATATCCATTAGATTATAATTTAAGATTGCTCTATTACTTTGAATTTACCTTACATAAAACGAACCCTATAAATAAATTTATTGCTATTTAAAAAAAATATATATATGGCATTTCTAATATTAAAATGATGAATAATGTGGTGCTAAAATATGATAAAAGCAATGACAACACACAGATCATTTTTATACTTTTCATATTAGATATTTCAGGCGATGTGAAATGTTTATCATTTCTTTGCATAATTTACGATGCCTTAGCTAAATATGAAAGTGCTGGGGAAAATTATAAACAAATTAAATTTAAATTGCAGCTTGAGGTAAAATATCAAACTATCATAAGAAAGATCTTAAATGAACTTGCATTTGTACATTTTCATTTTTAATATATTTATTATCAAAAAATGCCTGCGAGTGAAACAAGGGTTGTTACATATGCATTTTTGATCAACTAAAATTGAAATATTTTAAACAGTCATGTATAATTATATTTATAACCATATGCACATATAACTGGTAATTAAAAAAACAATTAACACAGCAACTACGCACTGCTATGGCCAAATTCTTAGATTGGTAAAACAATGAATTGTTTTTGCTCATTTGAAATACAACATCATAAAAATCACTGTTCATCTGTCGCTGTCAGCTTAGTATGTCTTATTTTCCTCCAAGTCCTTTCTTTTTAAAACAGGTTAGTGTCATTCAGCATGTAATTGGAACTGTAATATTTCATTGGCTGAAAGACACAAAAAAAGCTCTGAATGTTATACCATCTGGGCCAAATCGATCCAATAAATCTAATAACTTGATTAAAGAACTAATAACTTGATTAAAGAACTTATAACTTGATCAAGGAACACTTAACTTGATTAAAGAATTAAAAAAATCTTTATAAAAACATTTAAAAGTGGGAGAGCTTAGTTAAATTTCGTCACAAAGTCTTGACAGTTCTTTTTATATGTTGAACACAGCTTTAAAACGCATATATGATATATATGTTAATAAGTCTTTCATATATAGACAGTTAAAATAATTATGACAAAAATAATCATTTGTATACAAGCCAAACTACTACTTAGTTTACATTTTGCTACATATGACTAATAATTTTACTTTCAGCGTTACATTCATTTGCCCTTTCTGAAGAAGGAAAAAATTATTTATTATTTAATTTACAATTATGTTAATAACATGTTAAAAACTATAACACATGCTCAGATTATGATCTTTTGTTAAGGTGACTTATAGGTCCTATGGGCCGGGTGTTCATCTTTGTGTATTTATGTGTATGTATATACGTATAACACATGTCACTATAATAAAGAATTTACTTACTTATTTCTGAGGCAAAATGTGCCTTTCACTCCAAACTCTGGGTTGGAATTAAATGCTTGACTATATTGTTCATACTGATAGCATTTGATGCATCGCTAATTCATTTACAGACATTTGAGAAACATTTCAGCACATTGGGGTCAGCCCTCGTACACGATGGTGAATAAGGAAATCGTTTGATTTCTTTGAATGCTAGTATACATAAGCATGCAATAGTCTCTTGGCGAAGTATTTTCCAATATCATTTATAATAAGTCGAGTTGCGAAATCATACGTATAGTAAGTAAATCCGACATCTTTTTATTGTGCCTAGATAAACACAATTTCGGTTATTGTTTTACAATAGGTTGGTTGTACATTGAGAGTTCCTTCATTGGGCACAAAGCATCGTTTGGGACACGACACAAATAAAAATTTTAAAAGTAAGTTTTCTTTTCTTTTATTGGTTTATATGAAATACAACGAATGTACAATTTTACACAATGACATAGGCAAGAAATGTAATTAATTAGATTTATAATTATCTGAAATTTCACTTACGCTATTCCAAAAATGAAAAAATTCAAACTGTTTAATATTAAGTTCAGTTTCTGTAAATAGATATAAATTTTATCCTTATTTTATTTTATCCTCGTTAACGGATATTTCTTCCGTAACCTTTAGCAATATTTGCATTGAAAATAATTTACTTAGTTGAAACTTTCGTTATTTCTTCTTTTTTTGCTTTCTTCGGAATTCATAGTGCATGCTTTAATTAGTAATAAATGAATATTTGTTTAATACTTTATTATGCTGAAAAAAGTTTTGATGTAGCAATTTTCAATTATATTTCGTTAAGGTTAATGCTTATTTTGTTAAATATGTTCATTTGTATGTTACATTTTTTACTTTTCCTCTTAGTTCAATTAAATACAACGCTGGAAAATTTTCTTTTCTCATTGTATGCTTTAGTTATTTAACTACAAAAGTTTAATTAGCCTTTCGCACTACGCATTATTTCCAACATTGCTCAGCTGTTTTAAGATTCATTTAATTCAAATGTGATAAAAATCTAATTCAACATTTTCAGGTATTCCAGACATATAAACATGATGTAGCAAGAAAATTATGACAGTCCTACGGAGATCTAACTTAAATGGATAATTTTATCATTAAATTTTATCAACCGTTCGAACAAATTGAATAGCGGAGAGGTGAAAATTGTCTGTTATGTAACAAGTGTTTCTTAGCCATAAATTACTAGTTTCAAAGAATTTTTCAGGAACATTATTAACTAAAAGCGTTTTCAAACCAAACATGAATGCAAGTGACGTAAGTGATTTGGACATTTTCAGCATGCGATATAGTAAATGGCATGGTTACATAAGCTTGCTTATTTGTGCTCTTGGGATACCACTCAATATTTTAAACATTATTGTTCTTACAAGAAGTAAAATGCGCACTGCCATTAACTTTATCCTCACGTGTATCGCGATATGCGACATGACAACAATGTTGTCTTACGTACCCTTTGCTGTCCACTTTTATTGTCAGTATTCTGCTAATTCAATTTTACCTGAAAAGAACAGTTTGCAATGGATGAATTTTCTGTTGGTACATCTAAATGTAACGGCCACTGCTCATACAATTTCAATTTGGCTTGCCGTTGCACTGGCAATAATTCGCTATCACCAGATACATTCCCCGGCACACGGCAGCATAACGCACATGCGTAGAATTATACGTGCTCGAGTGATAACAGGAACCATTGTTATATTTTCTATCGTGATATTAATACCGAATTATTTGTGTCACAAATTAAAACTCCACCAGAGTCGTGATAATTCAACGTTATATGTTTTTGAAGAATGGCGTCTTGGTTCGGCACAAGTCGACACAATACGGGTGATAGCGTTGGTAATGTACAGTTCATTGGCAAAGCTGCTCCCATGTGTGATGATCATAATATATGGCGGACTTCTTCTAAGGACGTTACATAAAACGATTCAACATCAACAACAACTAGCAGCGACGTCGTGTTTAAACTCAAAGAGAAGTAACAACCCTTCTAGAACGACAACCATGTTACTGATTGTGTTTGTCCTCTTCATATTTACAGAACTGCCTCAAGGGATTCTTATCTTATGTTGTATATTTATAAAGAATTTCTTTGAAAGAACCTACATTCCTCTCGGCGACGTAATGGATATTTTTACATTACTTAACAATAGTATAAACTTTGTACTGTATTGTACTATGAGTCAGGAATTTCGACGTGCGTTTGTAGAAGTGTTCTGCTCATCGTCTAGAAATGATGATCGGAATAAATATCCAGCATCGTCCGCGGTGTACCAAAATAACATAAAAACAAGTTATATATAACTGTTTGTATAAAGATTTTCTTGTGCCTATCTAACGAGGTTTCCATTTTACATTTATAAACAATAATTATAAGACGTATGCTTTAAAAAGAGGTATTTAACGATATTGAACTTGTCAGTTAAATCTCTTTTCATGTTCCTTCGTTGAAGTATAAATAAATTAAAATTAAAAATGTGAAATACTGCGAGCGTATTTTTGGAATTTTAAAAACGTAAAACAGTGCAGCTTTCACATTTTGTCTTGGAATCTTGATAATCAAAAGTGTGAAATAAAACAGAAACAAGTAAATGAATTGCCGATTCATGAATTGGATCAGGATTGTTCAAACAAAATGGTGATTCTAGTTACATGGTTAGGTTTAATTCAATTCTAAAAGTACATTCAGAGATTTCTCCTCCACTCATCTATACACATTTTTTATATTCTCAAATAAACACAAATTCCACGTGGCATTGCTAGTTTATCGAAATAACAAATTTAGTTTTATTTTTTTTATAAACATTTAACTGAATAAATTTTATAGTCAAATCAATGCTGTTTATTACTTTGCACAGAGATGAATATTACACTACCTCTTAGTTAAAAACAGCATGTCATAATCATCTAAATGCAGAACAAACAGGTAACAAGAGCGATCAGTAATCACATGTGTCGCCTCATGATGGCCAATATCATGTTGGGACAAATTTTGTGACAGACGGACAGACAGACGGACAGTGCACAACTAGACTAACCACTTTGTACTGATCATTCCTGTAAAATTTGGATAAAATTGCACCAGTAGTTTATGAGGAGTAGTCCGGACAAGCTTTTGCGTATCTGGCAACACACAGAAAAAAACACCTTTTTATCAAAGGGCCATAACTCGGCCAAAAATCATTCAACCGGAAAACCCGTGCAATATGCGCAAGGACTTGAGCTACAGATCAATCCTGTAAAGTTTCATTGAAATTGCATAAGTGGTATAAGAGAAGTAGTCTGGACAAACTTTAAAAATAAAAATTATTAAAGGGCTATAACTCAAACAAAAATCACTGAACCGGAAAATGCTGACAATATGCACAACTAGACTTGGTACTGATCATTCCTGTAAAGTTTGGATGAAATTGCACCAGTAGTTTATGAGGAGTAGTTTGGACAAGCTTTTGCGTATCTGGCAACACACAGAAAAAGAAACCTTTTTATCAAAGGGCCATAACTTGGCCAAAAATCATTCAACTGGAAAACCCGTGCAATATGCGCAAGGACTTGAGCTACAGATCAATCCTGTAAAGTTTCATTGAAATTGCATTAGTGGTATAAGAGAAGTAGTCCGGACAAACTTTAAAATTAAAAATTATTAAAGGGCCATAACTCTGACAAAAATCATTGAACCGAAAAATCCTGATAATATGCACAACTAGACTTGGTACTGATCATTCCTGTAAAGTTTGGATGAAATTGCACCAGTAGTTTATGAGGAGTAGTCCGGACAAGTTTTGTGACGGACGGACGGACAGACGGACAGGCAGACAGACGGACAGACAGACGACGGAGAAGTGATCCCTATATGTCGCCACTACTCCGTAGAGGCGACACAAAAACAGGTCTTATTCTAACATGGTTTCTATATACGAAAAAAACAGCCGAGAATAACTTTTGCATTTGTACATGTATGTCGTACGTCAGGTTGTTAGTATAAGCCTACAATAATAATTCATAGAAATGATTCTGAGTTTAGTGTAAAATATTATAACCTAAGAAATGATATTGTTCAAAGTCAAAGTTATGTCTATGGAAATGTTGCGATCATTAGTCCATTACATCTGACAAGTGCCACATATCCGCACTAACGAGTCTGCACATTTCGACATATCACAACATTTAGTCTTAAACTTAACAAGCAATAAATATTATTTTACAGTACCATTTCAAGGTAATTATCATTGAAACATGGAATCAGCAGTGAAGTACAGTGAAACCTCTAAACAGCAATACCCTTCTGGATACAAAGATTTTAACTTCTGATCTATTTTCAAATAAAATCAAAGTATTTCTTTTTTTTTGACATTGGGTGAAGAACAACGTGCACGGCGGTACAAGACTCGCACAGTTCTAAGCAGTTACTGTCATTCACCAAACACGTTCAGTTATTTTATGTACAAAAGCAGAGTTCCGTTAATCCAGTTACATACTCTAGATAAACTATGCTCATCCTTGAGTAAAATATCTTAATCACAGAATTTATTGAAAACTATGAACTTCTTACTAAATATGTCTAATTGGAATAAAATAATGATTAAACTATGTATGATAAGCTGCATTCCCTATTACAGGTCAAGTAAAGTTGGTATTTTCTTTTTATTGACACTATATATTCATATTTTGACCACCTATAGTGTGTAGAATTTTAAACATAAGAAATATACTTTGTATGAAGTCAAAAACATGTTTATTTTATATTTACAAAGAAACTGTGAAGCAATTACCAATATTTTCTAACATCAAATTTCAGCATAGTATATCTTTAAACTGTCCTCAATAGCAATTGATAAACTCTACGCACACCAGTGACATCTATGAAAAGTAAGTCAGTTGCTAGTAACAATAACATGTTTTAAACAGCAATAATCTGTCTTGTGTCCCTTTTTTCAGCTGTTTAAATCGTGTTTATATATAAACTAGTACATAAATATTGTAAGACATGTGTGCCTTAGAATATAATGAAGCCTGTTATTTAAATAACTTTTAATTTTTTTGCAATTGTTTTTGTTTGATTTCCAACATTGAACATATAAATATACATAATGCATGAAACAATAATTCAAATGATTTTAGTATGATTTCAAACATATCTTATAATACATACTTTTTCTCATTAAAATTAAATTTCTGACTTATTTTGTCAAACAAGAGTGTATAAAAACATTAATTTTAATACAAGTACATATAAGTCATTGTACATACTAAAGGAAACGATCTCAATCATATCAATTTCAAAAAAAATATCAATTGTAATAATAACAAAAACAAAATGCCCCCGACCCAGATTCTTAATGAAATGGATGACTGCTTAAGAAAAATATTTAACACAGTTAAATTATACAAACTTAAGTTGTAACTTAATGTTTTTTTCTATCAGAAAAAAATCTAAATTGGCACGTCATTGCTATTTGCACCGCTAGGTGGAGCATTATATGCATCGAAAGTGTTTATTTTTAGTTAGGATGAAGCATTTGTAAGACATGGGAATTAAATAAAGTATTACCTCCTTCAAAAAGCAATCCTCCTTTATAGCTGAAGAACCTTCATATATATACAGTTGCTGTTTCTAAAGCACCACCATCAAGTTGTTGATTGTTAGTAAAAATGCTATGATGGATGGACGGTGAGACACCAGGGGTATTAAATAAGTATAACATAATATAAGCAAATTTTTTAGGGCATATAATTAATGTACTCAATATAAGTGATCATCCTATGAAGTTTGACAGTTGTAAAACTGTTAACAATATTAAGGTCATTTGATATTGACCTTTGACCTTGTGACCCCAATATAGATATGGATCTTTTATTCAATATAGGCAATCATCCTATGAAGTTTGAACACTGTAAGCCAAATGGAACTTGTGTTATGCTCCAGAAAGCACAATTTTCAGTGTTAAGGTCATTGTGACCCTGACCTTTGATCTTATGACCCTAAAATCAATAGGGGTCATGTATTGGACATGGCTGTTCATCCTATAAAATTTTACAGCTGTAGGTTGATTAATACTTAAGTTATTGAGCAAAAACTGTTTTCAGTTTTAAGGTAATAGTGACCTTGACCTTTGACCTTGTGACCCCAAAATCAATAGAGGTCTTCTACCCAATATTGACAATCATCCTATAAAGTTTGAACACTGTGAGCCAAATGGAACTAAAGTTATGCTCAAGAAACCACAATTTTCACATTGTGACCCTGACCTTTGACCTTATGACCCTAAAATCAATAGGGATAATGTATTGGACTATAAAATTTTACAGCTGTAGGTTGATTAATACTTAAGTTATTGAGCAGAAACTGTTTTCAGTTTTAGGAAATAGTGATTGACCTTGACCTTTCACCTTGTGACCCCTAAATCAATAGAGGTTTTCTACCTAATATGGACAATCATCCTATGAAGTTTGAATATTGTGGGCCATATGGAACTTAAGTTATGCCCCGGAAACTGTTTTCAGTTTTAAGGTTACAGTGACCTTGACCTTTGACCTTGTGACCACTAATCAATAGAGGTCTTCTACACAATATGGACAATCATCCTATGAAGTTTGAATATTGTGGGCCAAATGTAACTTAAGTAATGCTCCAGAAACCAAATTGTGACCACATACTCTACCCAAAGTTAGAGGACCATGCAATAATTTACTTACTAGATATCAAAGGTATCAGTTAATAAATGGAGTAACAAGGAGAAATAAAACATATATCCCACTTTTTTAAGTTTAACCATACAAGGTAATACAGCCTTGTTACAAAAAACAAAAGATATAAAACTAAAGATATATCAATATCCAACTCGCCGGAATAGGTAAAAAATTTCTGAGTGTTATGAAGGGAAATAAGTTGGGGGGAAATAGAAATCACAGTTATATAACCTGCCAAACTCATGTACTTTGTATCGGATGTGTATAAATCAAGAAGCCATTGGTACGGGTAGAACTTGGCTTTTTATATGAAAATTTTCAAAAATCATCCTTTGATACATTATTCAAGATCAAATCATACCCCTTAGATTTTCAATTGTCATGCCCTCATACACGATTAATACATTTTATAAACTTATCATACTGCACAAAGATATTACACAAGAAAGTAAATTAGGATGCCTCACCTATGAATCTAACCATATAAATGCAAACTAGTAACATTTTTACAATGTACATTTTTGTAAATCAGCTTAAAGCTTAACAGTACATAGAAAAGCAAGAGATAAATCTATATCGTTTGCATGACATCAATTGCTAGAAAAGGTCATAACGTATACAATGCAGACTAAAGTAGACCGTTAGGTCACAATCTAAGTTTGTTTGCTTGTCTAGTTTTTGTGTGAATTTCAATACATTTTCAGCGGGCGGTCAATTTCCAAGATAACTAACTAGTAATTACCTATTTTCGACAAGTGATGACTACTAATCCCACATGATTTTTAAATATACTGTAAAAGACAAGTGACATATCACTGTGAGATAATTTGTCTCAATTCTGACTCATCCAAGAATCAATCAAGCCATCCCTGGATTACATATGTTATGCTTTCCCCTTTTGAGCTACACTGCATATCCACATTCTAGGTTATGAAACATCAAAGTTTGACTGTGTCTAAACAAAAATGTGGGTGCAAATTTGGAAACCAAATTTTTCAGAAATCAAGTTATTTAATCATCAATTTTGAATCAAGGGCATCATCTATTTAACTTTTGTAGACAGACATATGGTGACTCCTTTTTTTGTCCAATTTCCAAATCTGATTTTAGAAATAAACCTTTGGAAGGCAAAGACTGTAGTTTTCCACTGTCACTTTTTATCAACACCTGTCATCAAAAATATCCCACTGTAAAATTTCAGGTAAGTTGCTAATTTTCACTCTCTTTTCCAGCACTGGAGGCACATCAGATTTATTTGGATCAAAACATCTTTTATGAGATGTTTTTGAATGACAAGGCATTGTAACTCCATTTCTGTATCGTTGTAGGCAATCTTCGTCAAGTAATGTATGGAAATCTGCTTGATAATTATCAAATTTATAGTCATCAATAAGCCCTGTGCAAAACAATTTGTAATTCAAAATAAACCAGAGAAAAATCACAATCCTGACGTCAATATCTCCTTCATCAAACAAGTCCAATAAATGACTTCCAAGGAGTACATCATTCTCACAGTCATACATAAACACAATTAGCTTTTCATTCTTTATCCCTATACTAGGAATCAAATTATTTTGCATTTTTCCAGAATTTTGTCTACCTTGTAAATATGAAAAGACAAATGTTTTTACAACCATCTGAGAATATTCATTATCCAAAACCTTGTCACCTGATTCTGACACTGAAACATCATCTTCAGATGACTGTCCAAATGAGACAGGCAATTCTACGTCAGTATTGTTCATGATAAGTAGGTCAACATTTCCATGCCACCCATCCTCCAAACCTGAAACGAGAAATTCAACAGTCTTAACCTTTAACTTCATAAAGACATGTCTTGACAGCTTTTCATCCCCCCTCCCCTTTTTGAGGCCTCAAATAGTGAAGAATTTAAGATTGAGCATGCTGTTACAAAGGCTTTGGTCCAGTCAAAAATTTGTGCCAAGTTTGATCAGCATTAAAGCATTTTTTATAGTTTCATAGCAGTTTATCTTGTAACAAGAGGCTTTTCAATGAAAACAGCCATTTTTCACAATATGCTCATGCAGTAAAAGGTTAATTGACTCAAAGTTTACCTAGTGTGGTAATCAACTTATCTTCATTCACAAAATGACAGAGGACAATGGGACTACCTAAGTAGTAAGGGCATAAACACATGGTGCATATAATTGCTATATTTATCTCACTTGATAATCAAGTTCTGGTTATATCGGTTCCTGAGATGGGATAGAATTGGACAAAGTGATTCCTATTAAGCCTCTGCACACATTATAAATAATCACATGACTTGGTTATATGTCTAAGATAGTGATAAAGTGTGCCAGAATCTTAGAATATGATAACAAAAACAGTTAAAGCAATTTTTTTTTTTAAAAATGGGTTTATTTAAGGTCGCTGCCGGAAAGCCCATATGGGTGACTGTACACTCAAGTTGGGCCATCCTAGAGCGTCCCGCCGAGATTTTTTCGTCGATTTTTTTCCAGCTTATATTGGTGGAGGAAGACCCCAGGTGCCCCTCCGTGCATTATTTCATTCACGAGGGGGCAACCGGGTAGAACCACCGACCTTCCGTTAGCCAGCTAGATATTAAAGCAAAATAAACAACAAAATACTAATAGTGACCAAGGAGCAAGCAACTTTTGGCCCCAGGGGCATATTTCATTCTAATTTGCAGACATTCACATGGTAATGTTACATGCTAAATATCTTAGCTCTTTGCATTGTAATTTCACAAAATTAAGACTGAAAATTTAATGTGTTTTCTCATACAAGACTATATCAACTAAGTGGTCACAGGGGTGTGGCCAACATTGACCCAAGGACCATTATTAATACCAATTTTTAATTTCACTTCCAATAAGGCAATGCTTCATGTCAAATATCTAAACTTTAGGAAGAGTAGTTTCACCAATGTAAGACTTAAATGTGTTTTCCAGCACAAAAATATATTAATTAAGTGACCCCCCCCCACAAGGGCAGGGGGACCTAAGGGGCATGATAAATACAAGTTATTTTATGGTCCATATAGAGATAGTACAGTCAAATCAATGTAAGCTTTGGGCACACAAGTATCAGTATAAATTATAATGATGTGTTTTTCATATATTTATAGTCAACAAATCAAATGACCCCAAGCACTTGGCCAATATTGATCCAAGATTTATTAAATTAATACCAGTTTTGTTAAGGTCAATAAGACAATGCCACATGCTAAAAATCTAATCTGTAGACATTGTAGCTTCACACAGGAAACCCAAATCTGTGTTCTGCACACAATCTCATTATAAGAAATATTTCTTCCAAAATTTTTTAGTTGTTTCTATTTATTGCTTCAAAATTTTGAAATTGATACAAAATGACTGTGACCTTGACCTGAGAAAGGTCACACCTATTGTCTGCAAATTACCTTATTATGGTTAACATTTCTGCCAAGTACTAGTACTTTCAATTTCCTTCCACCAATATAAAAGATACAGACCAGACAATCTGATAAAAATTAGCTCTAAATAAAGCTCTGCTTTTAGATCTGATCATGACCAAATACAAAGAAATTTCAGGTGATCTTTCACACAGTCAATCATCGGCGAGCTTTCATTACTTTGAAAGCGATGCGGTGTCTAGGAAACCAATACTGAGTAGCTAATTTTCAAAATTTTGAGAACAAACATGGCAATGTCCATATAGCTGATAGGTACATGTAAGCTGGGGAAACAATCTAGCCCATTAAAAATTGACATTATTTCAAGTTAATTCGTTAAAAATTACTTGAAAAAAAAATTTCTACCAAAAATCAACAATTTGTTTAACTTCTACAGATAACAGTATTTTGATACTTCTTCTAATGCCTATCTGTAAAAACCGGTTTGTTTGCATGGCTAAAAATAGCTTTTTCAGGAAATCCGAAATATAAAGAAGGCGAAACATATTTGGTCATCATCAGATCTACATGAAAGAAAAAAGTAGATCTGAACTAGAGTCAGTTTGACCAGAAATATACTCTTTGATTTAATGGTATAAGAGAAGTAGTCCGGGCAAAAATAAAAATCATTAAAGGGCCATAACTCTGACAAAAATCACTGAACTGGAAAAGGCTGCAATATGCACAACTAACTAGACTTCATACTGATCATTTGTTTGGATGAAATTTCACCAGTAGCTTTTGAGGAGTAATTTTGTGACTGATGGACAAATAGATGACAGAGAAGTGATCCCTATAAAAATAATACATGAAAAAATATAATAAATAAGTTTCAAATAAATTCCAAGTTTAACAAGAGGGCCATGATGGCCCTGAGGTCGCTCACCTGTATATAGCCCCCCCCCCCGGCCCAATTTTTACCCAAGGGCTTTTATTTGTTTATTTGAACAGACTTGGTAGACACCCATAAGAAGATGTTTCATGCAAAACATCTAAGTTCTAGCTCATTGGGTTTTTTAAAAGAAGATTTTTTAAGTTTTTACTATACACATATAGTTAAAAACAATGACACCCCTCGGGCAGGGCCAGTTTTGACCCCTGGGCTTTTATTTGAACAAACTTTGTAGATATTTACTTAAAGATGTTTCATGCTTAATATCTAAACTCTAGTTATTTGGGTTTTTTCAAAGAAGATTTTTAAGTTTTTGCTATGTATATAAGGAAAATCAATGACCCCCGGGGCGGGGCCAGTTTTGACCCCAGGGCTTTTATTTGAACATACTTGGTAGACACCCATTAGAACATGTCTCATGCTAAATATCTTAGCTCTAGCTCTTTGGGTTCTTTAAAAGAAGATTTTATAAGTTTTTACTATATGCATATAAGGAAAATCAATGACCCCCTGGGGAGGGGCCAATTTTGACCCCAGGGCTTTTATTTGAACAAACTTGGTAGACATTCACTAGAAGATGTTTCATGCCAAACATCTAAGTTCTAGCTCTTACGATTCTTTAAAAGAAGATTTTTTAAGTTTTTACTATATGCATATAGGGAAAATCAATTACCCCCCAGGGCGGGGCCAATTTTGTCCCCAGGGCTTTTATTTGAACAAACTTGGTAGACATTCACTAGAAGATGTTTCATGCCAAATATCTAAGCTCTAGCTCTTTGGGTTCTTTAAAAGAAGATTTTTTTAAGTTTTTACTTTATGCATATAGGGAAAATCAATGACGCCCTGGGGTGGGGCCAATTTTGATCCCAGGGCTTTTATTTGAACAAACTTGGTAGACATTCACTAGAAGATGTTTCATGCCAAATATCTAAGCTCTAGCTCTTACAGTTCTTTAAAGGAAGATTTTTTAAGTGTTTACTATATGCATATAGGGAAAATCAATGACCCCCCGGGGCGGGGCTAATTTTGACCCCAGGGCTTTTATTTGAACAAACTTGGTAGACACTCACTAGAAGATGTTCCATGCCAAATATCTTAGCTCTAGCTCATACAGTTCTTTAAAAGAAGATTTTTTAAGTTTTTACTATATGCATATAGGGAAAATCAATGACCCCCCGGGGCGGGGCCAATTTTGACCCCAGGGCTTTTATTTGAACAAACTTGGTAGACACTCATTAGAAGATGTTTCATGCCAAATATCTAAGCTCTAGCTCTTAGGGTTGTTTAAAAGAAGATATTTAAAGATTTTTCTTTCGGTTGCCATGGCAACCAGAGTTCTGTATGGAATTAAATTCTTTGAACAATTTTTAAAGGTGACCACCAAAGGAACATTCCTGTGAAGTTTGGATGAAATTGGCTCAGTGGTTTATGAGGAGATGTCATTTAAAGCAAAAGTTTACGGACGGACGACGGACGGACGACGGACGGACGCCGGACGAAAAGCGATCACAAAAGCTCACCCTGTCACTTTGTGACAGGTGAGCTAAAAATTAATGGAGATAATTTTGGAAATACAGGAGCCAGAGTTATAAATCTTATCACATATAATTATATGACTAACAAACTTTTTTTTTTTAAGTCTGAATTACAGAAAAAGTAAGGAAAATTTTGTTTGTCAGGGAAATACTGTAATTTGAAATATTGATACTAGAGTTATGAACCTTTCATACATTATACTTGTATTTTATGGGAGTTGATATGAAACTTAAATTTAAATTTAAAAAATTATATCCTTTGAAAACTAAAGCAGATAACAATTTCTATAAAATAATTTTTCCAAATTCAAGGAATATTTCTTAAAATATTAATGCTAGAGTTATGAATCTTGTCACACATGATGTGGGTGATTATAAGTAACAAATATTTGAAGGTTGAAGTGCATACTGTACAGCAAAAATAACATTTTTTAAAATAATATCTTTATGAATCTTGTCACACATCATGTGGGTAAAGATAATGATTATATACTTGAATGTTGAAGTAGATACCTTAGAAAATGACGCTTACCTATATGAATACATAAAATTTGTCCAATAAAGGTACAAAGCTAAGGCTTGTTAAAAAGATGTTTTATCCAATTTCTAAGTTGAAAAAGAGGCATAAATATGCAAAAAAGGAAACAAGAGTTATTGAACTTACGCCAATAATGTTAGATTATCACAGAGAAGAAGCATGTGAAGTTTCAATCCATTCCCTTCAGTAGTTATGGAGATACCAGCTTACACGCAAAAACAACCAAGAATAAGTCTAAAAAGGGGCATTAATATGCAAAAAAGCAAATCAGAGATATGAGACTTGTGCCAGTCATGGTAGATAATCACAGAGAACAAGAAGTTTTAATCCATTCTTTTAGTTATTGAGATACTAGCTTCCACGTAAAAACTTAACCACAGAGACGCCGCCGCGGCCTACACCGGCTCTGACAAATTGGTTACTGCATTAGCTTGAGTATTCTACTTAAAATCTTAGTCCATTGGGAGATAATTCTTCAAATATTGGCACATGTTTACAAGAGGGCCATGATAGCCCTGAAATAGCTCACCTGTATATAGGACTCCAGGGCAAGCCAATTTTAACCCAAGGGCTTTAGGGCCCCAAGGCATTCATTTGAATAAACTTGGTAGACACTGACAACATGATGTTTTATGCCACATATTTAAGCTCCTAAGGTCTTTTGGTTTCTATAAGAAGTTTTTCTTTTCGGTTGCCATGGCAACCAAAGTTCTGCATAAAATTAAACAATTTTTAAAGTTGACTACCACAGGAACATTCCTGTGAAGTTTGAATGACATTGGCCAAGTGGTTTAGGAGGAGATGTGGTTGAACCCATTACGCGATATACATGCCTTTTAACGCCCTTTTCACCCCCCCCCCCTTTTTGTTGTCTCAAATGGTGAAAAAATGCCTTATTTAGGCCCCCAACACTTGTCTTTGTTTGAGAAATGTTGTTAAAGAAAGTGGCCACTTTTTTGGCGCGGCCCCCCAACCAAAAGATACATCAGGGGGTTGCCAGAAGAGGGAAGTGCCGCCTACTGTTTGGGGGGTTTGAAGGGGGGCGGAGCCCCCCTCATCGCCAAGAAAATTTTGGACTTGTGAGAGGCTAAATGACCCCAGATTGATCATAAGGTAACGTGTATCCAACGCTGAAAAGCATCTGACTCTATCTCAATCCATTGAGAAGTTGCAGCACTTTGAAATCAATTTTGATGGAAAAATTCAACGCAAAATAGTGAGTTTTGGCAATTTTGAGATGTCCCCTCGTTGCGATGGTAACAGAAAATTTAAGCCTGAGCATGTTGTTGCAAGGGCAATGGTCCAGTCAACATTTGTGCCAAGTTTGATTAGTGTTGAAGCAGTTTTTATAGTATTATAGCAATTTGAACATGTAAAGGGAGACTTTTCAATGAAAACAGCCATTTTTCACAAAATGCTCATGAAGTAATGGGTTAAAGAAAAAGTTTACAGACGGACGACGTACGGACGCCCGACAACAAGCAATCACAAAAGCTCACCATCAGGTGAGCTAAAAACCATGTTTGTTCTGTTTACAGTTAGATGGGCCTCTAACCCTATTCTGTAGTGCAGATGGATGGATAGATGGACAGTTCAGTTACATGTACTATTGATATAAAAAGAATAATTATTAAGGAAAATTCTAAATTCAAGGAGATATAATTCTGAAAATATTGCTCCTAGAGTTATGAACCTTGTCACATAAGATGTAGTTCATGATATATTTGAAGTTTAAAGTTGATACCTTAAGAAATGAAAAAGTTGTAATAAAAGTATTTCACTGCACCAAAACTTTAATCTCAAACCTGGATGCGGACGCTTTGGGCAAGGACAGCTCTCCATAAATTTTGTATAGTCAAGCTAAAAATCATACTCATTTCCCATATCTTACCAAATGAAGTATCTCCACATTTGCCAGAATAAGAGTGATCCACATCACAACATTTTACATACTGTATTCCTGGGTATGAATCAATCATATATGTCTTCTCATCAACAAGGGGCATCAGTAAATGTTCCGCATATCGCCTGGCAACGGTAGCTTCACATCCTTCCTCTCCTCTTTCTGCCAGTACAGAATGATCTACAAATATTAAAATATAAAAACTTAAAAACTAAAACTTTCAAAGAACACCCCAAAATGACAAAGCTGAAAAAATGTTGCAGAAAAATAGCTGCATTATACAAAAATTGTAGCATGTACGGAATATACAGGGAATATATTATACATTGGGTAACTGACAATGGTTATCGAGTCACAATTTTCATTCTATACAGTAATTTGGATTGAAGACACCACTCTTATTCACCTTATTAAAAACTAAAACCAACATTTTGTACAAGAACTAGTCTTAATATTTTGCTTATATTAGTATGGTTTAGTGTCTTACATGTGACCAAGTTTAAACAATATTTCATAAGGTTTTAAAAGTCTTTTTTTACCTACAATTCAATTATGATATTTAAGTGAGTTTTCAAAATACAACATGTAGTAGAAAACAATTTTATGGTCAAGTCATGCGACTAGTATGTAATAACATGTAAAAATATTTTGACGTTCAGTTGCAGAATAAATTTAACCATGATGCAACAAGTGTGAATCAAGAAGATGAGCTACTCACATAACCTTAAGCATTTGTACTTGTGATTTCTCTGTTCCAGTCATTGAGAATAATTATTTATAAAATGATAACTAAAAACAATGTACAAATACAATTTATTGTTCCAATAGGGTAATGAAATTAAATTAGTGTCACAGATTTTTTTCTATGCTCAGTTCTGTGGCACACAGTGCAAAGTGAATTTCAAAAGAATGGCATTTGAGTCCTAATCAGGCTGCACAATTTTCCTCACACTGACATTTGGTGCCAAATTGGGGATCTTGATGGTACATATCAGAGCCAAAGTAACATTGTTCTTAGGATATCTCTTTTGTGTGGATTTTATTATTGTACAGCAACTTACCATGCAATAATAATCTGGGCATTTTCACCCTACACCAGTGGTAAAAATAAGACCCCATTTAACATAAACTCTCTTTTCCCCAATTCCAAATAAAATATTCACAACTGCTGCTAAATAAATCAAAATTTTTGAAAATTTGAGAAGGATTGAACTGTTTAGATTTTTTTTTCAAAGACATGACATGTTATATTATCACAATAAATGAATAAACTTGAAAGCCATCCATAAAAACCTTGGTTGTATATCAAGATTTAAGAATTTTTTAAAATCTACAAAAATGCTGCCTAATTTTTCCAAATTAAAACCAATTGCTTTTTTGGCTACTTTGTGAAAAGGCCAATTATTATTATAGTAATTCTAATATTAGACAAAATTAATAAACTCAAATTATCATATAAATGAAGTTATAAATTATATAAAGCATTGATGTCTATGTATCTCAGTTGGGTGTCAAGTTTAGTTTTTTACTAGTTACCCACTTATAACATTTCTTATCTTAATTCTTACTAACAGGTGAACTTTTTTTACAATATATCTGGGGTGACAAAATCATAATTTTTCATATTGCCAAGGTTGTCCCATAAAAGCAAAACATTCCAGTAAATTTAAATGATTAAATTTAGAATTATTTTCAATATAAAGCGTGTTTGGTTTAAACATATTTATTTAAGCTCGATTGCAAAACAAGTTCTTGCAACTTATATTAATCACTTTCGAGTCTGCTTCCTGGAACCAACCAGTACTGGTGTCGTGACCAGCGTAGGGCTCGAACCCATGATCTAGTAGGTTGAGTCTCAGGCAGACACCTTAATTATAACCACTAGGTCACTGCTCCCCAGTCCCCTTAAAATAAAGCATGTAAACATAATACAGGGAAGTCAAAGACTTTGGCTTGCCCAGCTATAGACTACATGTGTATATTTTAAAAAAAATCAAATAAAAAAACAATTAAAAAAAATATAGAATTCTATACCTATCAATGAAATTTTGAGTGTCAGTTCTAGTTAGGCGCCGCCATTTACAAAGTAACTCAATGATAAAAGGCGGTGTATTCCAATAATGGAAGAAATCTCAACTTTTCAGATTAATAAAAATTGTCGAGTGTTCCGAGTGAAAACGGAAGCGGGTACATTTAATACCAAATGACACCTTTAAAATGGAAAAATGAAAGGATTTTTACGGACTTCCCCGTTCATAGGCTTTGCCTAATTTCATATTAGTGAATGAATTAACCTGTGAAGGCATCGCCACATCTCACGGTGATAGATCACAGTATATAGGTACTTTTGGCATGGTTTTGCTGTTTGCAGGGAAAATTCCTAACATAATACTGAGACTGAGTTTGAGGCAACCACGTGAAAAATGTGGGTTTCATAAGTCCAAATATGACAAGTTGAACAAACTGAATAACTTCAATAAGGGACAAGTTGACTGAACTCAAAATACCATAAATGGTGTCTGACTTTTATGGGAAAACTAACAAAAATAGACAAGTTGAACAGTACCACTACTAGACAGAAATTGCAGCAATCTTTGTAAAGCTCTCCGTTGAAATTTATCAGCTGGTACTCTTGGTGTACTTGCCCTATCAGCCAAAAAGTCTTGAAGAATTTTGTAGCCAGTCAAAAAGAAACAACCAATTGGAGCCATATATTTGCTTTCTTTAGTTTCTATGCCCATCGTTTCAACCTTGCAAGTTGCATTATTGAAAGCAACATCAGTTCTTGCATCGACTGCTACCACCCTAAGACATCTTAAAAACATATAGTCATTTCCACTGGCAAACGCTTGCAAAGCATTTTCTATGCGAATTTTCAATTTTTCGTTTCCTTCTTCTTCCAGAAAATCTTTAAAATATTCTGTTTTGTTTTCTTCAGCATCCATTGTCGCGAAAATATATGATAGTCCGAAAATGACTTACTAATCAACAGTTTCCGGTGTCCGGATTTCGACGGTCTCCGGTATTAAAACAATTTTTTTTAGTGAAGTTATATATATAATTTTAAATTGAATGTAGGGGTAAATGAGAAAAATGTAATTGACGAATGTTTTAAGTCATGAAGTCCTGTGTTTGTGATGTTTTAACAGATTAAAGGTTATTGATAAAATAGTTCCATCCAATGAGCATTGGAAAATAAATCTGAATAAATATATAATTCTTAGTAAATTAAATGACACTAAATCATACACATGTAATTTCAATATTAACATTAATTTTCATGAAACTGCACCTATTTAATTTGTTAGTTTTGTGACATCATATAACAATATCATATCTGGCAGAAACACCAAAATTAAGTTCAGAGTTTAATTTAGATTAAAATTCGATTTTTTAGATCAGTTTACTACGTGAAAGGCAATTGACCAGTACAAAATTAGGGCATCTGAAAAGAAATTATTAAAGGAACTCCATTGAGGTCCAATAGCCTAAAATAATAAATTTTGAAATTCTTTCTAAAATCAACAGGTACATTAAAATTTGAAACCAAGCAAGAGATGATACATACATATACACGGCATTAAATTTTTATGCGATTTTTGACCGATTTGAGTGAAAGGCGTTTAAACGGTTTTCATTTATTGGGCCAATTTGCACAATAAAATTGATTATTTCTTGAAAACGGAGTGAGCGAATGATCTGAAATTTTGTACATGAGTTATTGGTCTAAACATACATCTAGTTATACAAAAATCTTGGAAAAATATTTCCAGTCCCTTTTCTTCAAAAAACCTCAGTGGAGTCCCTTTAAACAGGAGTCATTCAAATCCCGGAGAGAGAAAAAAAAAAGAGAATAACGTGAACAATATATGGAGACAATTTATTTTAAATTTATTTGCAAATGGTCTACAGTACAGTATGACACAAAATTCATTTACATTACCATATTACAGGCATAGTTTTAAGATACGGCGAATTCTGAGTAAGTTATTCAGCAGCATATTTATAGAAACGTAATGCATGTATAATCTATCAAAATTCTATTCAGATATATAAAAATGTTTCATTTTGAATTTTCTTTTAAAAGAACATCTTATTCAATGTTTATTTAATTTATTGCATTTCAATTGAAGCTTTAATGAGGACAGTCAGTCCAAGAAAATGTACAACATTGATTTTAAAAATCCAATTCAAAGTTTATTTAATTATTAGGAGAGTTTAAGGAAACAACGTCCTGCATTTTAATGTTTCTTGGGGGAAAATCTTTTCCTCCTTTTTAAATTGATTTGATTCAAAACAACATTTCTTTCGCAAAGGTTTACTAGGCCACTCTTCTTGAAATAAACTTTATTTGGACAAGTAAACTTTTTTTGCATGCCACTCCTATATAATGTGATAACATGAACTTTCTCCATATTAAAACATATATTTCATATTTAGTACTTATATAACAATTAATTTAAGGCATGTTTCTAAATGAGAGCAACGGTTAATTGTGAATGGAATTTGAAATGACTGTCTCCCCATGCGGCGGGGATGAGAGCGAAGATAATGGCAGTAAATAAGTTCTACTAAGAAGCTATTGACATATAAGTGATTGTTTAAAATCTAAACTATATATGGTCTTATATATTCATCTTTTTGTACTTATTTTAAAGAGATATGCAGAGTTCAAACAAATTAAGATGTTCATTTATCTTTTATTTTCATTTATCTTTTATTTTATCATAGAAAGTAAAGCAACTGTAACATTTTTGTGCTCTTCATCATTAAAATATAATAAATCATATATAGCTTATGTTAACATTCGACCACCTTTTAATTCTTGAAAACTGATGGTTATTATCTACATAGTATTGCATAAAAAACAATGCAAGCTTGTTACGGAGGTGAAGATACAGTCACGTGAGCATGCAATATTTATGCATGTTTTTAACATGGATGACTCAAGGTGCCATATAGGAATACATTGTGCGGTCTAATTTAAAATAATATCGTACTGCATGTAGCACATGAAAAGCATTGCAAAACGGTTTCTTTGTACGAAAGAAAAATTAACGGAACTCGCATGATCGAAACAGACGTATACTTTTCATACAAGAGTAGCGCTAACGCACCTTTTACGTGCATCAATATCTGCAAAAGCCCTTGTACTTATTAAATCCCTTGTCCTACGTCTGTTTCGATCAATCATTCGAATTATGTGCCAATGCTTCAGCAGATGTTAAGGCGCAAAAAGTGCATATTCCAATATAATGAAAAAATTAGGGCCTCAGTAATTATAAATTTTACAACTGTAATAATGATGCACTTGGATGCATCGGTCAACTGTCACTCCTGTTTTTTTTTCTATAAGAAATTTTCTTTTGGCTCTTAAAGAATTAGTGGACATACAAATATCGAATATTTTCACCTAAGCATATTTGTTACAAATTACAGAAGTAATTAAGAATAATATTTCTTAATTCTTGGCCCCAAAGTCCGTCCCTAAAGGGGGTTAAACCCTTTTTATTTTTTAACAAAATTTTTATCTTTTTTTGACATTTAAATTTGAACCCCATCAATTTCTCATAGAGATATTCCTTCAAAGGGGTTAGCAAAAATATTTGATTTTTTACCAAAAAAAAACCCAAAAATTATACAACACCCCCTGTTCCCGTGGACCCCAACAAATTAAATGTTTATTTTCACATTTTTTATTTTAACCAATTAACTTTAAAGTTTTTTTTTTAAAAAAAGGGGTTTTTTCCCCTGACCCTGGGTTGGGTTTAAAAAAATTCTTTGAAATGAAAACCTTGTATTTTATTTTTAAGTCCCCAACGCCAGCCTTTTTTATTTTTTCCCCCGAGTTAAAAAAAACAAACAACAACAGAAAACAACTTCAAAGCCATATTGTACTTTTAGTCTCGTTTCATTTTTCATGTCCAACATTTCTACACCAAATTCTTAATTTTATTGTAATCGAAAAATCAAAGTTCTGTCAAAATGATTGGTAATGTAAAATAAAGAGATCGTTATGCAGTGTTGAGTACAAGACTGATAATTAAATATAAAATGTAAGTAAAATAACGTACAGCTGTATATTCGTTCAATAAAATTCGGTATCGTACGTAACTTCTTAATTCCACACCACCATTTTTAAAAATAGAGTATTAATTGAAAACGGACACAGTGTTGAATACTCCTACATACCAGTCAACTTCAAATAGTGTTTTTCCAGGTTTTGTACATGACAAACAAATATCCTACCAACCATATATCAAAGGGAGAGGACATTTATAAGCTTTATAGCTTTCTGCCCAATCCCAAAATGTACTTTGTAAAAATTGTTCACTTGTTAAATGTTTTGTTGAATAAATATGTTTAAACCAAAGATTAGATTTGCTTTGACAAAATTATTTTTGTATAATATAATAAATAAATAAAACCCTTGTGTTGCTGATACCAATGATAAGATAACTGTAAGCGCAATTAGCAGAGTTTAGTATCAGGTATATCTTATTATTTTTTTTACTTTTATAATAATTGAATATGATACGACATTTACACCATAGAGAAAATAATATAATGAATGTTGAAAATTATAATTAGAGGGAGAAAACTGTATTTTCCACAATGTGAATTACATTGTAGGTTTATAAGATTTATAAACACCATTTATCCCAAGAACATCTGCGTCCTTAGTCTGTTGTCAAAAAGTGCAAATCCTTTGTACATGTATCTGAAAATCAGAATAAGAAAACAGATGATGTACATTAAATTTGTTTGTAATTTTACTGGGGCGTTATTCCAAGTAATAATCACACGGGCGTAAACAGGTTCACGGTTTATATAGGACGTGCTTTTTAAAACTTGGCCTGTGACTGTTTACAAACAAAACGCTATGAAAATTGGTATAAATCTTTAGCATAGAACAATTATTTCGGTTTATGTATTTGATTATTCTAACAATATTTTTACTGCAGAATGTATTCGTGAAATTGAGCAAAATCGCCAAATTCTGCATCTATTGTTGGGCATTATAATTATAAGGCCTATACCTGTTTGTTAACGAAAATCACAGAGCGGCAGATTGTAGAAAAATATATATTTAAATACAATATCACTCGGCACAAATATCCTCGGTCTATGTATACTTTAGAGAAACGTATGTTTTATTTCATTTTGAAACAAACGTTGTTCATTATTCAATTTTTCAGAATAAAAGCTTATTAATCAACTCATAAAATGATCGTAAAATGTTTGAACTGTCTAAGAGGTTTTTTATTGCTCCAGGTACATGCATATCTAGTCATTACGTCATTAAAGTACGTGCCGGGTGGTTTGACATTAGTGTCACAACATTTCAATTGCATTTCTTTCATAATGTAGTAAATATAATGAAACATCTGCCGTCTAATACTTATCGTATTGTTTTCTTACTTCCCAGTCCAATTATGATCAGCTGTAATATAGATTTAACATCTGCGCGATATGTTTTTTTTTATTCTGTGGAACGTAACTAGTACAATGTGTATTGATTTCGTCTGTTGTTAGACAATCCTGAAAATCATTGTCTTATTTTGTAATGTTGACAAGATTTATTGATTAAGATCAGATCCTATAAATTAATTATGATATCTAGAAATCAAATACACATAAGTGATAATGTTTACCAGAATTATTATCTAAGACATAAGATGATTCCTTTGTAAACAAACAACGATGTTGTAGGCGGCATTTTCATGTTAAACAAAATATCTCAGAAAAAATGTGTACATTGTGACCCAGGTGAACGAATGTATCCCCAAGTGGCATGAGTAACTTTATGAATAAAAAATTACAGAATATTTATAGACAACTTGTAACAGCATTTATTACAGTTCTTTTCCAATTTCATTGGATAGGTTCAAATGTCATATATGGAGATTAAGGATACCATTTGACACTTCCCGGTACTGTTTTTCGTCGTAGAAACACATCTGGGGAAGATTCAAAAT